CAACAACGGGGTGACAAAGCAGCTCGGTTGTTTTTGCAGGCAAGAATCACATATTCTTCTGGACCAACACGCAGATGAACTTGAACTTCCTGGGAAGTGCAAAATTAGGTAAGCCAATTACACTTCGATGAAGCATGAGAGCTTGTCCCTTCCTTTTTGAAAATACCCATTCGTCATGGTTCTATGAGACATACAGATCGCACATCTTGATGCGTCGCATGTGGCCAAGTACGTCTCGCAAGAAGGAAGGAGCTCTCATTCAATTGGTGATTCAGCGACAATGGCTCTCTGTGGTTTCCCGTTTAGCAGCGAAGCCAATGTATGAATGCGTTGGTCTAGCAGCCACCTTCCTCCGCTAACTCATCCTTCACCTTTACCCGGGCAGGAAGCATCGCATACGGTTCCCGAAATAATCAACCACGGGTCTACGCAACCTGCCCTTGAGCAATAGAAATCAAATATAAGCAGCATCACCCCCCTTCCCCTCGTCTTTCCTTTTTCTTCTCTATACACCCGGTAGTACTCCAACTCTGAACCGTTGGCAACACTCCCACTCTGAGCCGCCGACAACGCCTCAGAGTGGGAGTGTGCTGTAGTGGGCAGCATGTCTGTAAGTTCGAAGACTTATCCAGTCTGACATTGTGTATTAATTCCTAATCGTCTTATCACAAGGCACCAAACGTGACCGTATCGGTCACGATAAACGGAGTAGCCGCCCCGGGCCCTGCCGCCGCCACCTGCGTTGCGGCTGTGTAAGTAACAAATCCTTTTGGCGAAGGCTGTTCGAGCTAGCAAGTTTGCTAACATTTATAATAACATAGTGCCGCCGCCGAGGAGCTGGCCCCCTACGCGCCGCCACCATCGCCTGCTGCCCCCCAGAGGGTGGTTTCCCCTTCTCTGGCGCCGCCCAGCGGCGAGCGCGCCTGGCACCGCCGCCCCGGGCTCCCCGACCCCCTCCCTCCGCTGAGGAGGATGTTTGTTTGTTGTTTGTTGCTTTTGTTGTTTTTTGTATGGTGTTAGTGTGTTTGTTATGTGTATTGGTAGTTTTTTTTTGTTCTTAAAAAGTCGCTGATTTTCCCCTGATCATTGTACCTGTTGGTGACTTATCCCTTTCCTGAAAGTACCTACCCATACCTCGTAGTTCTATAAAGCATACAAAATCGCACATACGTCGTATATGGCGGGAACGCAATTACTCCACGACAGAGATGTCGTACGCTCATGACGCGCAAGATTTGTCATGATCAACATTCATCCCGGGGTAAGGGTACGGCGGCCGAACTGGGACACTTCAAAATTGGTCAGCTCCCCCTCATTTTCGCGTGAACGTTGCAATTGCTTTTCTACTATCATTGGACTCTAGCCAGTCCAGTCCTCCATTCTTACACATTTTCAGTGAGAACACCTTCATTATGCGTGTCCCTCTCCGCAGCCCCCTCCACTATCCCAGCCTTCATCTTGGCCACACTGGGACTTCAGTGCCATCAGCAGAGCACAAATCGTCTCCGTATCTCATTCATGCCGCCACTCTCATTCCAGGCCGAGGAGATCCTATACCGCATGGGGCTGTCGCTGTGAACGATGAAAAGATCGAGTGGGTCGGACCTTTTGCCAATCGCCCATCCAAGTATGAAAGCATCCGGGTGATCAATGTCCCCGTGCTTATGCCAGGCCTCTGGGACTGCCACTGCCATTATCAGGCGTTCGATGTCCTCCAAGGGCTGGATACGGTTTCATATCTCCCTGGGACGGATGCTCTCACCGGCGCCATAACGGTAGAAGATTTGAGGGTTACCCTCCTGTCGGGCTATACCTCAATTCGGGAACTGGGTGGTAATGCGGGAGACCTTCGGCCTGGCATTGAGCGAGGACTCCTGGTAGGCCCTAATGTGTACTCCTCCCACACTGCTCTATCCATCACAGGCGGGCATGGAGACGATCACATGCTGCCAATCCAGTCAGTGAGAGAAGCGATGGATCGTGGGTCCCCCGTTGCTCTCTGCGACGGGGTTGACGAGTGCCTCAAAACAGTGCGTCTACAAATCCGTCGCGGCGCAAAAGTCATCAAGGTTTGTTCTACCGGCGGTGTTCTCAGCCTCAACGACAACCCCGAGGATAGCCAATTCTCCGACGCGGAGCTCAAAGCCATCGTCGAGGAAGCCGGGCGGAGCGGTCGTGCTGTCGCTGCCCATGCTATCGGCAAGGCCGGTATTATGGCCGCCCTGAGAGCCGGCGTACAGAGCATTGAACACGGCATGTACCTTGATGAAGAGGTGGCCGGGCTCATGAAGGAGAAGGGGACATATCTAGTCGCTACGCAGCACATTGTCCGCACTATGGCCGCAGACTACCTTGACACCCTTCCGGAGCCCTCGAGGGTAAAGTTGCTGAAAATCTTGGACCTTTCCAAGTCATCTTATAAGCTGGCTGTCAAGAGCGGTGTCAAGATTGCTCTAGGGACGGACATGCTAAGCAGCGACCGCAAGTCAAAGCTGTCGCATGGCAACAACGCCCACGAGCTGATGTGGGCAGTGGAGGCCGGGATGACACCTCTGGAGGCCATCGAGAGCGCGACAGCCAACGGCCCGGAGACGTTGGGCCGCCTGGCACCTTTGAGTGGACAGATCAAGGAAGGATACGATGCGGACATGATTGCAGTATCATCAAGCCCACTGCATGATATATCCATCCTGGCTGATCCAGAGAACATCACACATGTGTGGAAGGGAGGGAAGTTGTATAAAGGAGGTAATTAGCTAGTTCGATTAGCACATCGAATTGTCAAGAGACCATACGACTTTTCCGGGGTACTGAATATAGTATGATATAAAACCGCTTAGAAAGCAACTTGAAAAAGCAAATAAAAAGGCAGCTGATGAAGCCATGATCTTAGTAGTGCCAGCGTAAGAAACGATGACGCGTCCTAGGAATAGATATCCCAGAAAACCGTTTATTAGAGGAATTTAGACATAGTTTACCAAAGCAGAGTTGGGCTCCCTCAAGACAGAAACCGATGCCATGTAAGTAGGCCAACAGTGCTTATTGTCCAAACAGGGGCTTGAACCTTGGGGTGGCCTTCAGCACCGGGCTTGGTTTGTGCCTGAGCAAGTGATCATCGTGAGCTTCCTTTTCAGCGAACTCTGCTATATCGTTCCGGTGTAGTGGGTGGATAGTATGTGTGTCGATTTCAACGAGAACTAACTAATGTTGGTACCACGAACATTAGATAGACACCCAGCTTCGCTTCCAAGAGTCTTTGACTATCACGTATTATGACCCTGAAATGGACGCTGTTCATTCACGGTACAGAGTTACAGGGACTCCGTATTGTGAGAGGATTGAAAGGTCCTAAACAGGGAGGTCTCACACCGATGTACGTATTGAGTTGGGCAAGGGCCTGATGGGCGCTACCAACCAACAGACATTATCGTCGAACACGGAGAAGCTAAGGTTTCAAAGGCACCTGGATAGCCAACCAAAGGTACGAATGACCACCTTTCTTTTCCAGCATTCACAGGCGATCCCTCAAAGCCTGATCTGCCCAAGTAGGCAGACCTACCACGGATGTTCACGTATGGATGGATAAAATTAGAAACAACAAGGTGCAGTGGGGAAGGTTGCACTACAGCTCCCCGGCGTCAGAGATAGGAAGAGCTGAAGCATAGCAATATTATGTAATCGAATTACATAAGCAAGGAGGGGTAGTCTGGCCTCGGCATCAAACCCTTGGAACAAGGACCTTGCCCGGGAATCTCTAAGTTCCGAAGGACACCGACCACGCCGGTGGTGAGTCCTTTCTCTATACGCATCACGACATGGAGAAGTTCAATAACATGAAACGAATATATTCTATAAATGTGCATCAGGCACAGAGAACACTCTATTCCAGCCAGATGGGGAATGTCCGCTTACGTAATCACCAGGCAGTCGGCCTCAGAAAACACAGGGCCCACCTGCTATTCCTCTAGCGGCGTGTTTAGCGCAGGTCCAATCACAATCGCAAGCCTTGGGGCCGTGCCTGCCTGTGGGAGGTGCCTGCGGGAACCATGCAGACCTCCCTCCTCCCACCACCTCGCACCTCGCGACTTTGCATCTTGCTGACAAACCACGCTCCTCCAAACACACCCGTTGCTCATCACTTACATTCACACCCACCATTCAGTCATCAAGACCCTAGCTCAAGGCCGGGCAAGCAAAGCTTCAGTTCTTGGCTTGCTCTGAATTCCGTCTCAGAGGAGAGGAGAGGACTGGCCAGGACCGTCTGTTCGGGAAAGCTGCGAGAGTAGGACATTGCTCGAGAATAACCGCGCGCTGTGCAATTCCGCCTAGCTTCGTCATACGCCAATGCAACAGGCTTGACAATACTATTGGCACCCTCCAGACGAGAGATTCAGCCACTTCGTTTCTGTTTTCGGGGCCAACAAGTCGCGCGAGCCGCCTAGGGAGCCCGCTGGGTTTGATTACATAATACACCCACCCCGCTGATCCACCGCCGCTGCTGCTCTCGTCCTCGCTGATTGTCTTCAAGACGCCATATATTAGTTATTAATCCTCGCCAGCGACCTATATGACTGCTGACTCAGACTCTGCCCTCGAAGCTCTACTTACTAGCCATGCAGTCCTCGCCAGCCACTGCGGGTGTCAATATCACGACGAATTCTCAGGGTGAGTTTGCTCGATATCGCTTTTCTTCCTTCCCGTCGCATTGTGCAGCGCTCGCGCGCTGAGTCATTTCTCTATTCGCGCCCTTGTGCGCAAGAGAGCATCTCGTCTGCCCTTCTACACCATGCCCGGTCGCCAGTCGCCCGCTGCGTTCCATTCTCCCCGACGCGACAATCAATAAACTTGGCCATTTCTCTCTGTAGATCGGCCTAGTTTTCGCGCCGCGACTGTCGCCTTGTCTCATACATTCTCGTCCATTTCCCCGAACTTCATCATCGCTGCTCAATGTGTGCGAACCGCCTCGCGCAAGCCCTCTGGAGAACCTCGCCGCTGACAGATGCACAATAGAGCAGCACCTTCGCGCACAGCTTGAGCTTTTGAAGAGCCCAGAATCAGATCTTTCCGGGTCGCCCGGCTCGAGACCGCGGGACCAGAGGACTGGTCACACCTCTCCCACTGCTGCACAAATCGCGAATGGATACGACGAGCTTGCGGCTGCCTCCCACGACGCTGCTCGAGCTTTAAACGCAAAGACTGACGGTACCGACGCGTTTATTCATCCCGATCTGCGCACAGGTCCTATTTCCCAACACAACCACAATATGATGCCCATTGTGCCCTCACCGGGGCCTGTTGGTGGCCCTCCTCCCGGGGCCCCCAACTCCTCGCTTGCACCTGCGCCCCAACCTCTGCAGCTGGCCCCAGCACCAGGGGAAGAATCTCCTAACGATGGTCGCAAAGCAAAGCGGGCGTTGTCCCAGTCGAAGCGTGCCGCGCAAAACAGAGCCGCTCAGGTAGGTCATATTTCCCCCACATGAATGCGCCCAAGTAGAAACACGAGCGAGGAGGGCATTGTCTTGCGTGGTGTGCTGCGTGGACTCTCGATGCTAACTGCTTCTGTTCTCAGAGGGCTTTTCGTCAGCGCAAAGAAAGCTACATCAAGCAACTTGAACAGGAAGTGCGAGATTACCGCGACATGGAGAAGTCATACAAGGCTACCCAATCAGAGAACTATGCCCTACGGGAATATGTTCTTACCTTACAATCTAGACTAATTGATGCCGTTGGAGAGTTCCCGCAGCCTCCACCAAACATCAATTTAGCTCACCATGCTGTGGCGCCAGAGCCACAGATGGGTACTCATGAGCCCGGACCCAGCCACCTGAACGCCGGAACGCCCTTAGAAGCGGTTGCCCAGGCTGTTGCTGGACTGGCCGCTCAGGAGCAAATGGGAGAGCGGCCCTACTCCAACCCTCACATGAAACCTGAACCTAGCACTCATGATAACCGAACAGCCGAAGAAATAAATAGACACCTCCAGGCTGGGGATGGCGGCCCTGACCACGCTCTCTAGAAGATACTATCCAGTCTAGGTTACTGAACTGCATATATTCTTCACGCGCTGACAATTATCCATCGTAATTGTCCAGACGAACAGTTGGAGTTTTCTATTTATCATTTCTATTTCCATGGCGTTCCGGCATCCTGTAATGAATCTTGATGTATCTTCATATCGTTCTCTACATCCTTTTCGCAGAACCATCTTCCTAGTTTCTGTCGCCGGGTTGTTTTTGTCTGGCGCATAGCTTAGACATTTTGTTTATCAGGCAGGAGGCAGCTAAGGAAGACGCCTGGGCGGGCTGGCGTCGGAAATCTTTTTTTGTGATTGCATGAATACTTTACTTTCATCTTCCTTTTTTTCCCCTCCTATGAATGCCTCATGAAGATTCAGCGTGGTCGATGGAACTTCCAATTGGGCCTGTCCCTGTCCCCTTCCATCTACCCGTCGGGGAAGAGAAGAAAAACATCATCGTTGTCTTTTTTTTTAACTCATGCGGCGGTGGCACGCATGGCTGTTTATGGAGAGCCTATTATTATTTTATCAATGCTAGACGAAGGAGCTTTTTTTTTTATCTTGTCACCAATTGTTTTTTTGAAATATCAACCCCTGGTTACATTGCCGCACCCGTTGCACCCACCCCTATTTGCCGTTCTCTCTCCTACCCTTTGCTACCTACGCATAAGAATTTCCCATGTCGTGTTCCTAAAGTAGAAAAGAGTGAGTACATATAGCAAGAGAAATATTGAAAAATATGTTGGAATGAACGAGGAGAGCATACCTTAATGTAGTCGGGACCCTTCTCCTGATACTCCTCACGAGAGATCTTCGCCGCCTTCCACGCCGGTGTTCCCGCCCAGCCCGCTGCGCCCTTCCAGGCGTCCAGCAGGGCGTCGTCTGCGCGACGCACCTTGATCGGGGAGTCGGCAGGTAGCAGGGACCTGAGACCCTCGCGTACGCGCTCGTCAAAGTTCTGGAACAGCGTGTTACCGCCGGTGAGGAAAATGTCGCGGAGGAAGTCCTCGTGGTTGGCGAGCCCCGTGAGGCGCTGGTTGAGGATGTCGCCGGCGATGTCGATGAGCCCCGCCTGGTCGACGCCCGCGATGGAGGGCCGGAAGACGACCTCGGGGACGCGGATGCGCTCGACGTTGAGATGGATCTGGTTCAGCTCCGCCTGGGAGGCAGGGTCGAACGGGCGGGGCCCGCGGGCGAAGGCGTGCAGGAGGGACTTGGACCAGTCTGACTGGGCCTCATGGGTCTGCTCGTAGTCGAAGTTGGGGTCGTACTTGAGGAGCTCCTGCTCGACGGACTTGAGGTTGGACATAAGGTCCTCCTCCTCCTGCTCGTCGTCGCTGTTCTCGCCGACGGCGATCTGGCGATATACGCCCCAGTCGTCGTCGTTTGCTCCAAAGTTGTCGTCGTCTCCGCCGCGGCGCCGCTTCTTGCCGGGTTGGTCGGAGGCCAGGTTGGCGATGCTCTTCATGCGGATCTGCGAGGCGAGGGACTTGCGGTTTCCGAGGTCCTGCTTCAGGCGGTCGCGCTCCTTCATCTTCGCCAGGGTGTCCGCGTGGACTTGGCGCTTCTCATCCAGCCAGCTCTCCAGATCATTCTCTCGGCGCTCGTTATCCAGGCGCTCCTCTTCGGCGACACGTGCCTTTTCAGCCTCCTTCTCGGCCTTGGCACGGGCTCGCGCCTCGTGGTTTGATTTCATAAGCCGCTGCTGCCGTTTCTGCTTGATCTGCGCCTCGTCGAGCTGGTCGTCGGGGATTTCCAACAGGCTGAAGTCCGGCTGCTCCTCGTTCTCCTCAGGGTCGCCGCCCACATCCTTAGTACGAGCCTTCTTTATGCCCTTTTCCAACTCTTTGATGATCTTCTCGAGCTCAGCCTCGTGCTTTATATCGTGGCTGTCGAGGAGTCGTCTCGTCTCCTTTTTGGTCTCGTCTACCAGTTTGCTCTGAAGCTGCTTGTAATATTCGAGATCCTGCTCCTTCTTCATGAGCTTCTCGAGTCGCATCTTGGCCGCTTGCTCCTGTAGTCTCCGTCCGCTCTCCTTCTTGCGCTCCGCTATCCTTGCCAGCTCTTCCTCGCTCTTCTGTACAATGACCTCTTCGGTATATGGATATTGGATGACGATGTCGCGGTCTTCGAGACCCGTCCAGTCGAGGTAGCCCTTAAGCTCCTGATCGTAGTCCCGCGATAGATAGCAGTACTCCTTCACCATGTGCTCTGCCTGAGAAGAGTTGAGCTTGCCCGTGAAAGCAGGATACTTTAGTCGGATGAGCTTCAACAGGTATTCGGCCGAGTGGTAACCGCCCCAATTTAATCTCGTCGTCTGTTTGAGCAAGGCTTTCGAGTTGTAGACGGGTATAACGTGTGTAGATGTGTATGAAGACGATATCACCAGGCCAGTTGTGCCTTTGTTGTGTCTATAGGAGAAGAGGGAGTCGATGCCGTAGGCGAGAGATGGCGCTCCGTAGCACTCGAAGAGGATTTCCGTCATAGCTAGTGTTTCGTTAGCCTCCATGTCCTATATTGTTTCTCAATCTCATGATGTGACATACATTTCCTGGAATAGGGAAGGTTCGCCACTGCCTCCGTCATGATAACCGGAGCATCGATGGACCCATCAGCGTCGTTCATCCCAAGCTTCAGGAACACATAGTCGAGAACGTGCTCCATGGCATCCCAGTTACTGACGATCCCCGTCCCCGCCTCGAAAGCATTTCGGATGTGGCCTCGCGCCGTCGTGTCGGCGTAGCAGTCTGAGCCGGCAAACGAGAAGGTCTTGCCCAGCTTGCGGTCGCGATACTTGGACATAATCGGGGGCATGCTGAAGCGCGGCTGCTTCTCGAAGGACCACCCTGCCCGTACTGCGTGCGATCCTAGAAAGAGAGATTTATCAATTGGGACGCCCCTCTACGATGCGCGCGCCTCTGTGTCCAGGACCTTACCATTGTCAATAACGATGGCGGCGCTGTCTGGTTGCTGGAGTGCCTTGCTGCGTCCGCCGGTTTCGGGCTCAATGTATTTCTCGAATCGCGTCTCCTTCACAGGGAAGATCTTTGCCGGCGGATATGTTTTCGTGTCTGGCGGTGCTGCTGCGGCAGACTGGTCGATGGCGGAGGGAGCCATTGTGATGAGAAGCGAGGGAGGTGCCCAAGACGAAATGAAGCAAGAATGGTCTCGGATACTAGGTCGATGTCATGGTTTGGAATGAGGAGCAGTGGTTGGTGCCGTGGACAGGATGGAATCGGATAGTCGGGGGTTGAGTGTCAATTGGAGAGAAAGAGAGCGCTGGTTGGAAATTTCGCCGCCTGATGTTCGGCTGCACGAGGCTGTCTGAGGTCACTTATTTATTACTGCGGCTACCCGTGGGATAGTGTTTACGGAGAAGAGCATGACAAGATCGCTTAATTACTGCGCAAACCCCCGCCCAAACAATAAATCATGCTGCTTCAAAGGTTCAGACAATTTGGCGGATAACAATCAGTTTCGATTGAAAGGCAAGGGTCGTGATCTTGGGTGTCATTCAATTATCATCATTCATGGAAGCTACCTATGGTAAGCTAAGCAAGTGTTTCTGTTACCACGCGCGTCGCGGACAGGTCCATAAACAGGCCTATCCAAGCATCGATCCTCTCCTGCCACCATGCTATGAGGGTGGTTTCAGATTGTCCGTAGCTACAGTCCAAGATTCATTAGTCTTGTGCCTTGTTTTTCTGCTTTTCGATGACCATGGTCTAGACAAACCTTCAAGATGAAATAGGACGTTGGACTGGTAGTTCTTGAACATCTGAGCGACGAGCTCAACATTCATGTTCTCGACGTTGATCTCCTGCGAGAAACAAGGTATTAATTTCCGAAGTACATGCATTGAAAAACGATAGTACCTGAAGACTCTTGTTCATAACAACGACGGCCTCGTTGAGCTTTTCCTGTTCCACAGTCTCAGTTCTGGCTTGTTGCATCAAATAAAGATGTACCTACTACGTTGGTAATGATACGTGAGAGCAGGAGGTTCTGTTGGTGCTCGTGAGGGCTCTCCTATTACAAAGCATGTTAGACTGCATAAGAGTCATGAAGAAATCGATTTCGTCGAGAAGAGGTCGCGTACCATGATTGCTGCCCGGGGATACCTGTCAACAGTGATTTGGTAGGTGCGTTGTGATGTCGCTGTTGTCGGATGCGCATGGTGAAGCTGCTAGTAGTAATGGCTGTCTACTTTAACCACTAACATTAACCAGCGATATCCTCACCCGTATCAGATAAGCTCTTCGGTATCTCGCGACTTGGGCCATTTCCGCCTTTCCTCAAGTCCGATCGGGGGTCTTATTGCAAGCCTCAAGTTCCCCTCACGCCAGCGAACCAAATTTTTTTACCATTTCCAAACAAGTTCCATTTCTTATCAGAGAATCTTCGCGTACCACTACCCAACAACTCCATCCACTCTCCTATCGACTAGCAATGGCTGCACCAACCGAGGCGCAGATTGCCCACCAGCAGCTCATCGAGCAGCTCGACATCCATTCCATTCACAAGAACTTCCGCAACCCAAATTGGCGACCGAACCAGCGCAGGAACAAGAACCTCAAGGCAATCGTTGGAGACGCAACACGAAGAGAAGCATCCGCTCTCGCCACCCCCCAAGATATCAGCGGCGACGCGACGCCTGCCGACGACGGGCTCTCCACGAGTGGCACGACGACGCCCGCCAACAGCAGCAGCGGCAGCAACCCTCCCAACCTAGCGCAGGCATCGAGGAGTCTGTCCAAGCTGGTTCTCGAGAAGAGCTTGAAGCCCTCCAACGGAGCTGCGGTCTCAGCGCCCACCGCCACGTACACCAACATCGAATCCGCGCCCTCGCTCTCGCACTCGAAGCACTACTGCGACATCACAGGACTACCAGCTCCGTATCTAGATCCCAAGACGCGCCTGAGGTACCACAACGGGGAGGTCTTTGGACTTATTCGTTCGATTCCACAAACGACAGCAGAGCAGTTCCTTGAAGCTCGTGG